GTACCAACCAAAACTAAATCAACAGCAAATACACCAATTCAAAACCATCCTAAACATAAAAAAATACAACAATTCAGTTTTTGCTGAGACAACAAAAGGATTCAAAACATTTCAAACACAGAATTACATTCTTCATTCTTCAGTCACTTTGCTTTTCCTTTTCCTTTCCTTTGTGCTTCCAGAGCAGCTGCAAGAGTTGACACAGAAATGTATTTAACCCCATTTTCCTCGAAAATTTCCTTCAATCTTGTATCTCTTTCTGAGAGGCAGGATTCCTGACTTGGAATGAAATGGGCACCAACAATTGGAGGTGGTGCTCTAATGTTCACACCAGAGACTGCTGACCCTTGTTGAAACTGAGAGTACATGGAGGGTGGTTGCTTGAATTGATTCATACTAGGGGCCAAAGTGAAATGAGACTCTTCACCAACTGTTTTCTTCTTGGATTTTCCCTGCATCACAAATTAATAAATAATATTAAATCATACAGTAAGTATATTCATTAAACAAATAGAAAAATCGACAACCTAAATCACTATATAGTTTTACCTTTGCAGGAGCAACACTTTCTTGGGTTAGAATTGCTGGGGCAGGTTCATTCATCTCCTCCACCTGCAAAATCAAAACAAAAATAAAAGTTCAAAATACTACCACATTTCTTATTCACAAAAAATAGGACATAAAGATAGAGAGTTTACATTTGCATGATGAACACTTGAATTAGGATTTGATTGGACAAGTTTAGTCCTCTTCACCTACAAAAAAAAGTAAAATGTTTAATTTTTAATCAATAGAGTCAAATTTCAAGTATAAAATATAGAGACATAAAGCTAGAGAATGAGTGAGTACCTGCAATTTTCTAGGCCTATCTTCCCTGCCAATTGCCACAGGGTCTGCATTTCCCTCCTTAATCAACAGACAACCTTTTTTGTTGTGCCCCTCCACATGGCAAAAACTGCATTTCAAACTAGTTTGTTGTCTTTTAATGGTGGCCATATCAGTGACAAATCTGGGTTTCACTCTAACCCTTTTTTTCTTTTGAGGTTGAACTTCATCTGGTTCAAGCCTTCTAGCCCTAGTAGGCCTGCCAGGTGCTCTTCCTTCATTAGGAGGCAAAGGTGGTAAAATACCTGTCTGTGGCCATTCCTTTTTCCCATTGATTGGCATAATAACAGGCTCATACACCTTTCTGTATGTCTCACTTCTGTAGAATGCATGAGTGAAATCTGCTATGTCCCACCCCTGGCAATGAACAACACTCACAGCATGAAGGCAAGGAATCCCACTAAGGTCCCATCTTCTACACCCACATGTATGATTCTTGAGGTCCACTTTAAACTGCTCACCATTTGCACAATCAATTTGAAAATGGTAGTCATCAGATTTCAAAGGAATGCAGTCCACTAGGTTTTCAATGTGAGCATCTATTATGTCTCTGATCTTAGGACACAATACAAATTCCCATCCTTTTGCCTTATCTCTGTTCACTTGGAGTCTCTTCATTAAGTATCCCATAATCCACTCAAGCATGGATAAAATGGGCATCTCTCTAGCTTGAAGGATGTTACAGTTGAAAGTCTCACATCCATTGTTCAAGAGCATGTCACATTTTGGGAAGACATCAAAGTGGGACCTGCTCCATTGGTGGGGAGGTTTATCATCAAACCAATCAAAAGCTTCTTGGCCCAAAGCCCTAAGAGCCTCCATCTTCCTTTTAAATTCATTGACAATAGTGGCTGTGGCAGCTCTCCAAACTGCATTTTTAAATGTAATCCCTCTGAACCCTGCATTCCTGAAATTACCAAGAAGGTGTCTGACACAAAATCTGTGATCTGCATTGGGCAAAACTTGCTGAAATGCTTGGATCAACCCTTTTTGTTTGTCAGAGATGAAGGTCCACTCAGGCTGATTCTCTATATCCAAGTCTTTCTTCAAAAGTAGGATAAACCACTCCCAGTTTTCCTTGTTTTCCTTGCTCACTACAGCATATGCAAGAGGATAGAGTGAATTGTTAGGATCCACTCCAACAGCAGTTAACAATACTCCTTTGTTAGGACCTTTTAGGTGACAACCATCAACTCCAATAATGGGTCTGCATCCTGCCTTGAACCCTACCTTCAAAGCACCCAAACAAATGTAAAATCTATCAAACAGATTCTGTTCATCAGTGCCTACAATCACTATAGTCCCTGGGTTTGTTGTCCTTATTTCCACACAGTAATCCCATAGAAGTGCATACTGGTCACTAGGGCAACCCTCCTTCTCTGCAAGTGCCCTCAATTTGCTTCTGTATGCCTGTTGATTGGAAAAGGTAACCCTAAGCTCCCTCACTTTAGACATTCTGAACCCTTTCAATTTCCTCTCTGGATCATCCTGCCACTCAGAAGCATACTTAGCAGCCAACCAAGTTGAAGTAATATTTTTCACCTTCCCTGTGCAGGCACAAGTATGCCTAGGAGTGTACTTGATAACTTGGAAAGCTTGATCATTCACAAGATTTACAGAATGCAACTTCCAATTGCAGGATTTATCCACACATTTAGCATGAAGATATTTACCATCATTCTTTGTAATTCTGACTGATCTTTTTGATTTGATAGCCCTAGACTGAATATCAACCTTAAGTTCAGCTTTATTGCTAAACAACATCCCTACTTTGAAAGTAGGATCATAAAGTTCAACAGAGTTAAACATAGGGAACTTAGGAAGATCATCCTCATCACAACTATTATCACTATTTAGTTCATCATTATAAACCAAATCCCTATCCTCTAACTCCACCTGCTCATTGACCACTCTCTCATTTTCTAAAGTTTGGCCAGCTAACCATTCAGCATCAATGTCAACACTTTCAGAAAAAAGCTTGTCATCAACCTGCTCATCCTCCATGTCATACTCAAACTCATATAAATCATCATCACTATCATCTGTTCCTCCATTTACTGTTTCCTCATCATTGATATCAATTTCTTCATTTTCCTCTAACTCTCTCACAAATTCATCTATGTAACTTTGATCTACATCTTTAGTCTGTTGTTGACATTCATTTGTCTTAGAACTCCCCAACCCAGCACCATCTTCCACCCCAGTTTTAGCACCTAGCCCATCACCATTCCCCATCCCATTTTTAGTACCTAACACATCAACATCTCCCATCCCAGTTTTAGCACCTAGCCCATCACCATCCCCCAACCCAGTTTCAGTACCTAACACATCACTATCCCCCAGACTAGATCTTACAATTTTTCCATCAACATAAAAATGCACTTCCCTATAATGGAGTCGATCTTCCAAAATAGACTTAAATTGAGTTTCTGGGGTAACCAAACGATGTTTGTTACATTTTATGGTGTAAATAACAATAGGGTCAAAGCATCCTTTAATTGTAGCCAACTCCTTAATATTAGACAAAGATAACTCTTTCTTATCAACATAGTCAATTACCAGACTGTCCACCTAGATATGCTGCGTATTTAGGGCCAATATCAAAGAAACCTCCATAATGAACATCAATAGTTAAATAACTACTTGTGGTTCCGGCAAAAATAAAGAAAAAAACAAAAAAAAAAAAACATATTAAACATAAGTTGTTCACAAATTCCAAACACAATGGACCATATCTCAATAATGAAAACAAAAATTTAAAAAGTTAGTTCACAGATTCCAAACACATGTTCCTGCTGATAAATAAATAAAAAAATACAACAAAACAAATAAAAAACATGAACTTGTTCATAGATCCCACGCACATTGTACACAAAAAAAAAAATAAAAAAAAAAATGTCGGGTGTACTTACCATATTGCGGAGATGGTCGATATTCATCCTTCTTAGCCCGCAACTTCATTTCGCAACCAGAAATAGAAATTCCTCGGGCGATTCTCTCAATAGGCTTCATATTCCGTTTTGATTTCGTCATTGATTCAGTGTTTGAGATGGATTATTCAAAAATTCAATTATATTCTCGCATTAGGGTTAGGGTTTTTTTTGGGGAGAATGAAAATTCTGAAATTGGGTAAATGAATCGATCGACATTCATTTCTTTTTATTTATATTGTTACGTCATCATTTTTTAATAGAGATAAAAAAAATCAAAAATTAATATTATTTACTAATCCATCCACGTACCAAAATGACCTCCCACGTCACAATTTATTCCTCCCATGTAAGAAAATAATCCTTCCACGTCGGCAGCTAATCAATCCGTCACGAAAAGTGGACTAAATTTGATTAAAATGACAACATAGTGGATCATTTTTTAATACACCTTACATGATGGACCAAATTCCAAAAAGTGCCAATTTAGTGGACTAAAAATGAAATTTTGCCGACCTTTTTAAGTGATAAGTGATAACACAAGAATCTTATGTCAATAAAAAAAAAAAAGAAAAAGAAAAAATTATTCACCCCCTTTTAATTTGGGAGGTGGCAACTCGTCATCCTGCCGTGTTCTAGTTTGCCTTGTTCTTATTTTATATTAGTATATATATGTATACAAACCATATGAAGTGTGGAACTTTCTAATAATTGATATATTCTCAAGCAGAATACTATATATATGTCCTCAATTAGGAGGGGCCTATAACCATGTGCAACTGCTCTCTTAATTCTTTTGTGAAAAAAATGGGTTGGGAAAATAGCAAGCCCACAATAGTAATGGTGGCATGTCAGTTCATGTACGCCGGAGTTAATCTAAGTGCGCGAGCTGCGCTTTTGGAAGGGATGAGTTCGAGGGTCTTTGTTGTCTACAGGCAATGCTTCGCTTTCTTGCTTATTGCTCCTCTTGCTTTCTTATCAAGGTACATATATATGTATATATCATCTCTTTCTATGGTCTCGTTACGATACCTTCTCGTCGAGTGTTTTAACCATTGGATCATCTATTTTATTTAATTACACGTGAATCCAATGGTTAAAACACCCGACGAAATGGTACTGTAATGAGACCGTAGCATATTCCATATATATATACGGAAAATTTAATTAGCTCTCCCGTTGTAGGAGAGGAACAAAAGAATGTTTTCCAGGGTGGAAGGCCTTTGGGTTGATTTTCTTCTTGGCTTTTGTGGGGTACGTAATCAAATACTTCTAATGTTCTTATCATGATATATATCGAATTTTCGATTTAGAAACGAAAAGAAGGGATAACTACAAAGTTGGCCGGTCTAAGATTGTTGGATATGTATGAACTTGGTTGGATTGAATAATTAAAATAATTATGTATCATGAAGACAAGTTAATTGGCCATTGCTGGCTTAACATTACATAAAACCTATTTAATTATTTTTATGTGGCACTTTCCTGTTAAAAACTGTTATTGACTAGCATTAATCATTTTATATCACTAATTATAAAACATGTAACTTTAACAATGAGTGCGCAAAATGTTGTAAGAACTGGAGAATAACAATAGGAGCTCGTCTAAGTCAAAGCATATTGACATTAAGTTCCTAGTTGTGAAGGAGAGGGTACTAAGTAGTCAAATTTCCATCGAACACTTAGAGACAAAATCAATGTTAGCAGATCCCCTAACTAAAGGTGTAACACCTATGGTATTTTACGAGCATACTACTCATACGGGTGTGTTACTTATTCAGAAAGTTTCACTCTAGTGGGAGTATTTGCTATATATTTTGTCATTTTTATTCGATGATATATAAAGTACTTATTCTGATCAGAAATAAAGTTTTGGTTCATGACACTTTGTACATTATGTTTTGGTACTTAACGATCTCATTAAGTTTGGACTAGTTAAAAATTGACATGTATTGATCACATTCATGTAATTTCATGCCACATGTTCCACAGTTTGATCTATGTCATTTAATCATGGTGATATATGCGATTATTGATAGTTTAGTTGTGCCTATACGGCGAAAACTGCTTTAGTCCTATATTGTTGTGATTAATGGTCCAGATTGTTTAAGTTCTGTAATAATGACCATATTTTAAGCTCATAAGTTTAATGTATTATCATGACACATATTTAATCCAGTGGGAGATTGTTAGATCTATTTTGGGATCAAATATGTGTAATTAATACATTGGGTCATTATATTGTTTAGCCAAATTAAGTGATCAAATTATTGTACATTGGCTAAGGAACTTAATTTTGATTGTGGAATGATTAAATGTGGACACCCGGTAATATTATTATTTGGTGACGTAGCAAATAATAATATTAAACTTAAGGACCTAAATAACATATAATTTGGATAAAAAATTATTTATGGGTGAAGTCCCCAAAAGCCGTGAAAATAAATTGATGTCCATTAAGATAACCTGTAAGGAATAAAAAATGGGTGTAGTTGAAATTTGGCCGACAACTTTCTCATTGATTGTACCATTAGTAGTAAAGTTGGCTGACAAATTTTATTAGAAAATTTTTTATAATCATTCCTAATTAATATAAAGGGAATGGGGAGGGCATCATTAAGGAGTATCATTTTTCTTTCAATACGTCTTCAACTCTGCTTAATTTTGAACTTATGCCAAACAAAATATCTTTCAAATTACAATATATATATATATATATATATATATTATTATTGGCTGAACATTGAATAAAACTATTTAATTATACATACGTAATACTTTCCTGTCAAAAACCGTTACTGGTCAGCATTAATCATTTTATACCACTAATTACAGTGTGTGGACACTAATCAAATCAGAATAATTTTAATTGACGAACCAAGATAATTCGATTTTTAAAGAATATTGACCAAACATCTTAAAAATTTTAATTATCATTTTAGTTGGCTTTAGTGTATAACCAAACATCTTAAAATTTCATCATCATCAACAACAACAACAACAACAACACTTTTTAAAATATGTACTAGGTTAAAAATTCACAAATTTATAAAAACTACATTATTTATTTTATTTTATTCAATCTGTATACTGATAAAGTTGAATACTTTTATAATATTCATTTTTACTAATGACAAAATTTGTAAATTGTGATACTATTATCTTATTTATATTTCTAATATTATATACACACATAAAACTTATGATAAATTAATCATATGTGCATGTGAAATCAAATACTAGTCGTTTGTGAATATAGAAAGAAGTTAATCACTTCGTCCTGCAAATCAACTCATTGTGTAGTCATGTGACACTCACGTGGTTAAATAAAATGGAAAACTTAAATCAAATTATTCTGATTAAATTGAAGAAAAGTACTATATTCAAGGCTTGATTGAATATGAAATTGGTAAAAAAAAAAAAAGTCATTTTTAATTCAATTTTAACTCAACTCCACTATCTTCGATATTATCAATATAATTAAATAATATCAAACAATCATTCTTATAGATTACATCAACTTTAATCATTATTCATCTACTCACATGATTTTAATTAACAATCACTTCCAATCAACTCTCTTACTTTTACATCAAATCTACTTTAATTATTTTATTTTAAATTTTACTAGTACAAATCCCGTACGATGTACGGGTAAGAGATATTCATTAATATTTATAAATTAAAAAATCTCATTAAATAATATTTATAAATTAAATATATTAAATCAGTATGTAATTCAGTTTACCTATATTCATTTATTGAAAATGTTATATAAAATTCAAATTGTGCAAAATTACTTAAAAATGTCTATTTAAAATCAGTACACAACCCGTGCGGTATACATAACTAGTGATAAATTACATTATATTCATATCAGAATAAGTGTCATTTAAAAATTTTATTCAGAAATTCAATTTGACTATGTCTATGATGTGATTACCTGTGTTAATAATAAGTATAAATATAAAACTTATATTGTTTCATTAATTAAAATGAATTTATTTTAGTATAAACTATCAAAATAAAATAAAATTAAGTAGTTGAGTAACTTATTAAACTATAAATAATTGACTATTACATTTATGTCCAAGTTAATATCGACCCGTAAGTTACGAATAATTGTTTATTTGATTTTTAATTTTAAATAATTTTTTAAATATATTATATACTAAATTTAAACCATGCAACTAACAAAGGCAATATGTGCAATTTTTGTCAAATAATATATGTTGGATACCAAATTTAAACTGTGTAACCAATAAAGATAATAGCCATAATATTTGACCAAAATAATTTTGTATATTAATTACATTGATTTTTTTTTTTAATTTGAATTTCAGATGATGTGCCGCCACTTTTCAAAAATATTTTAAAAACTTTACTAATAAAGGTAAAATTAATTTTTTTGGCAGAATTTTAGTTACTATTTTAAGTAAATACAAACTTTTTTCTATATAGATATACATATAAAATTTAATATAAACTCAAAATCTAACTCACAACTCACCATACAACTTTTTTCTAAATTAACTGTGGCTAACCAAAAAATCAATCAAACCAAATCAAATCCAGATCTAATTACATCATAAACCCAACACACTTAATAGGACATTTGGACTTTCTTTCACCTTCGATTGTGCTTCCAACCCAACTGCAAGCTGGTCCAGTACAATATACATGTGTAAATTGTAATAAATAATTGGCCAATTTACACGTATGCTACGGGATTTAACAAATATTGTAACTTTACAATCCTAATAAAAATAATTGCATGTTTACCTAAAACATAAGATAATTATATTAGTTCTTAATGTCAGTTACCATAATATTGCAACATCTCCCCTTAATGTACGCTTGATTACCATATATGTAATTTAGATATCCTACTAATTCGGGTGTTCAATTCAATGTCAACGCTTACTTAATTTGCACAGATCGTGAGATTTCAAAGAAGGATTTTAGTTCTCAGATTTTTTAATAAGTAGTATATATATTGTATGTATATTCAGTATATATTCAGTTTTTTTAATAGACAGTATATATTGCGTATATAGTCGGTATATATTAAGTATATAACCTGATTTTTAATTACATAGCATTTTTGTTTACCACACTTGTGATATCTGAATTTCAACTGTCAATTGTATATATTGTGTTTATAGTCAATATATAATAAAAAATTAAGTACGAGCCAGATGAGAAACACACCAACGAAAATATATCTAAACATATAATGTCTATATACGCAATATATACTGAAAAAAAAACACATTTTTTCTCTCCCTGTTGATCATCATCCCTGTAAGCATGCCACTGTAAGCACGCCATCAATGGCCATATCCTCGTGGAGCATCACTACCGACCCATTCATCAACCCGATCAGATTGCTGAGAAATGGCGATGCGCTAACCACCGGTAGCAACCAATCGAGAGGTGATGAGGAATGAAGCCAAACCCGCCGGTCGCCACCGTTGGGCCGAACCTCTGAATCATCTAAGTTCCAATAATCGTACTGCTCCCAAACCGCGTCGCTCCCAGATCCCGTCGCCGCCGGCTGCAAGTCGCCCTCTACTGAGTAGCTGGACTCCGCACCTTTCCATGGAAATCTATAAATTGGGATGACGAGAGAGATCTGAAGAAAAGGAAATATGGATGAAATCGAGGAAGAAGAAAAAAAATGAAGGTGAGAGGAAAGAGAAAGAAGATGCATTTGATTGTTAATTAGTTATTAACTCCTCATAGAATTCCTTTAAACACGGCACTAACTATGGTAACACAAAACTCCTCGACCGGCTAGAACTCGAATAATCGCCTTCCTTCTCGCCGATTTGGACGTCGTGTACCTACAAAGAACTCTCACACCGGAGGGGTTTTCCGGTGAAGAGCCTCCGATGCTTAAGTCAGTGTGTATTTTATCAATTCTCAAGAGTAATAGAATGATCGTGTTGAAGAAGAAAGGCTCACCCCCTTTATATAGGGGTGAGATACCTGACCTAGGGCTGCCCGGATTTGATGAGCTGTCTGCCCTAACTGCCCGTCCGTACATACCAAACGCGTGTGTCAGGGGTAGCCGCCTCCACTATCTTTTGCACCAATCCTCTTTGGACGCGTGTCCTCCTGCACATGGGGTATGTTGTCAGAGGTGGTTATCGCCATCCACCACTGCCTTCTCGACACGTGTCCCCTTCACATGGGGCAGATATTCCCCTGGAATTCTGTCAGAGGCTCTTCCCACGCGCCTGTAAATAGGCCGATCATCGTGGTGTTAACTCCTCGAAGTAGTCGACCTATCGAGGTCGAATAGGTTGCTCGATCATGCATCTGACCGAAAGATAGTTTGGTCGACAACTTTATTTGGTCGACTGAGTGACCGCCCGATTTCCCCGACTTTCTCATAGTACGACTTCTTCGACCGGTGCGGAGATCGGTTCGGCCCAGTGGATATAATATCCCATATCAAACTATAACAAAGCAACCAACCAAAATTAAAAATTGAAAAAAAAGGAAACATAACTGGTCAGCCTTGTTGAAATACAAATAAGATTCTCAATTATGGTATAGTTGCAAATAATTTTTAACGATCGTATGTTAATAATAAAAATCACTTTGGCTTGTGCGTGGCGCAATTTCCTCTAAATTATTTCTGGTGGGCTGTCGACTTTTCAAATCAATTTAAGGAGACCTTATTGATATTAGCAATGATGGCTAAATTTTGAGAGGTCGAACCTAATATATACTAAATTGGTCGCATTCTAATGAGAAATGCTACGGTTCCGTTACGGTACCATCTCGTCGGGTTTTTTAACCGTTTGATACACATGTAGTTAGTATAAGATAGATAATCCAACGGCTAAAACACCCGACGGGATGGTACTGATAGAATTTACCCATACTATAATATATACTCTTGCTAACTGAAATAGTGTGTGAATTTGCTCAACTAATATCCCATTAAATGCATTGAACCTTTTTTCTTTTTACTTGATCACAATTCATATGATCTCAATGGTAACATTAGCAGTCATCCATGTAAATATTTGAACATTTTTTTTTTTCATTTGGATACTTATAACTTGTACTTTACCTGGCAGTGTGACGCTAAATATGAACTTATATTTCGAGGGTTTGTACCTCGCCTCATCATCTGCTGCCAGCGCATTGGGCAATTTGATCCCAGCCATCACCTTTCTCATGGCTTATCTATTGGGGTAATCAATAAATCTGTTTAGATTTGCCAAAATTGCATATTAATACACCACTTGTCGTGTTTTTGTAATTTAATCACCACATTTACAATTTTACAAATTAACACACCACTTTTACCATTTTTGTAAATCGATACATGAATAATGTTTCCGTTAACTAAAATCTGCGGCTCAATGTCATGTCAGATTGATGGGTCCAGCAAAATAATGAAACAACAAAAGATGGGTTGTAAGATTCCATCAATCAAAGTAGAAGAGGAATTTTTTAATGCTATGAGTTGTCATATGGGTTGTCATTAGTTGAAATTATGAAGCTGAATATCCCTATAAATAGCACCAAAGTTTTAGCTGAAAATGCACCAAGGAAGAAAGAAAAAGAGTGAGAAGAAAAATAAGGAGCAGAAACAAAATTCAGTTTCTGGAGTGTTATTTTTCAGTGAGATAAAAATAGAGTATTTGAGTAAATCCTATGAGTGTAGAAAAAATACACCGGGTTGGGTATCAATTCTATTATTCCTTGTGTAGGAGTGAGGTCTCATTGGGTCACTATATTTTAAATTTCTAGTATAGAGGAGTGTGAAAAGATATTGTAAATATCTTGAAAATATAGTGGAATTATTCGGAGGTTGTCCCGTGGTCTTTTCCTCTAATTATAGGTTTTTCCATGTTACATCTTGGTGTCTTATTTTTTGCATATTTTATTTATTTGGTATATTCTTAGTATGCTCTGTGGTCGCAGTTTAATCTAATCATCCACATCAGAAAAGAATTATTCTTGTTTTATTGCAAGAGATTTCTTTTATCATTCTTGAGTTGCTGGAATTGAGATTATTGTTCACGATTTCACGTCTGTATTTTAATTTACATCTTCCGCATTTGCGCATCTGAGCCTAACAAGTGGTATTAGAGCTCAAGTAGGGCTCTGTATCGACCAGTGTAAATTAAATGGAGGAGAACGTGGATACCCTGGTGAAGCTTACAACAACAAATTACTCCATTTGAAAGCCAAAAATGGAGGACATACTTTTCTACAAAGATCAGTACGATCCTATAGAAAAGAGAGACAACAAACCAGATGATGCGAAGGTTGACGATTGGAAAAAGTTACACAGAAAGACTGTCAGTTTATTCAGACAGTGGGTGGATATCAGCATATTCCATTATGTTGCCACAGAGTCAAAAGCCCATACTCTGTGGAACAAAATTGAACAAATGTACTAGAGGAAGACTGCACCGAATAAAGCTTTCGTCATTAGAAAGCTTGTAAATCTAAAATATCTGGATGGAAGATCAGTTGTAGAACACTTGAATGAGTTTCAAGACATGGTGAACCAACTTGTTACCATGGAAATGAAACTCGATGAAGAGTTGCAGGCGTTGTTACTTTTGAGTTATTTACAAGAAGAAAACTGACTCTGGTGGTCTCGTTGAGAAACTCTACTCCTGAGAGAAAAATGACTTTGACCCAAGTCAAAGACAATATGTTTAATGAAGAAACAAGATGAAAAGACTCTAGGGCAAGCAACTCCCAAGCCCTGGTCACAGAAACCATGGAGAGAAGTAAAAACAAAGGCCGAAATAACAATTACAGAGATAAATCACAATCTCAACCCAAGAGAAAATTCAAGTGTTATCACTGCGGTGAAGAAGGACATATCAAAAGAAACTGCAAATCCTGGAAGAACAGAGGTTGGAGAAACAACAAATCAGAGAACGATGAAAATACCACAACCCCTGTGATCAATGGGGAACTGGTGTTGCTCTCTGTTGAAGAAGAAAAATGTCATGTTGCTGATTCATGTGTTGAATGGGTCATTGACTCGGCAGCATCATACTATGCAACCTCTCACAAGGATTTCTTTTCTCTATACAAAGAAGGAGACTTTGGTAGAGTAAAGATGGGCAACAACAGCATTGCAAATATTGTGGGAGTTGGTGATGTGTGCATTCAAACTGATATTGGGTGCACAATAACACTGAAGGACGTAAATCCTTGTGATTATTGTCTCTTTGGGAAGCATCATAGAGTGTCTTTCAGCAAAACCTCGAAGCTGAAAGAAAATGTGTTGGGAGATGGTGTATTCTAATGTATGTGGACCCATGGAAGTGGAGAGTCTCGGTGGTAGCAGGTATTTTGTGACGTTTATTGATGATGCTTCACGAAAATTGTGGGTGTATTTCTTGAAGAGCGAAGGGCGAAGTTTTTTAATACTTCAAAAGGTTCCATGTTATGGTGGAGAGATAGGCTGGTAAACCTTTGAAGTGTCTTGGCTCAGATAATGGGGCGAGTATACTTCCCATGAATACAAGAATTATTGTGTTGATCATGGTATCAGGCATGAGAATACTGTACTTGGAACCCCACAACATAACATTGTGGCTGAAAGAATCAGCAGAACCATTATCGAGAAAGTGAGGTGTATGTTAAGAATGGCTAAGCTACCTAAGCCATTCTGGGGTGAAGCTGTTCTAACGGCGTGCTACCTGATCAACCGATCTCCATCCGTTCCTTTGGGCTTTGATATCCCTGCGAGAGTATGGTCATGATGTTAAATACTCTCATTTAAAGGTGTTTGGATGCAAAGCTTTTGCTCACGTAAGCAAGGAACGGAGACAAAAACTTGACAATAAAGCCATTCCTTGTATATTTCTGGGGTATGGAAATGAGGAATTTGGCTACATGTTATGGGATCTAGAAAATCGAAAAATTATCAGAAGCAGAGATGTAGTGTTCCATGAGCAAGAAACTATGTCTGATTCTGCTTCACCAGAAACAAGAGAACCAAGTGAAAAGCTGGATGTTTCACTTGTCAAACCTCTTGGAGATGCCACAACAGGGGGAGAGTATGATGGAGAACTCAGGGTTGATGATGAGCCAACAATAGAAGATGGTGATGGTGAAGGTCTCGAGCAGGAAGATGTCGAAGCTCCGCCTCAGCTCAGTATATCAAATCGAGCGATCCAACCATCTACGAGATACCCTAGTTCCACGTATATTACCATCACTGAAGAAGGAGAGCCAGAAAGCTTTGAAGAAATATAGACTCATAAGGATAAATCCCAGTGGTTGAAAGCCATGCAAGAAGAAATAGATTACTTATGAGCTTGTGAAGCTTCAGAAGGTAGGAAAGCCTTGAAAAATAAATAGGTGTTCAAGCTTAAGAAAGATGGTGACAATCTGTTAAAGTACAAGGCTCGCTTAGTCGTGAAAGGATTTGGACAAAAGCGAGGAATAGATTTCGATGAGATTTTTGTAAAGATGAGCTCTATTCGAGTAGTACTCGGACTTGTGGCTAGCTTGGATCTGGAGATTGAACAAATAGATGTGAAAACTGCGTTTCTTCATGGAGACCTAGATGAAGAAATCTACATAGAGCAACCAGAAGGATTTGAGAAGACTGGAAAGGAGCACATGGGTTGCAGATTGAAGAAGAGCATGTATGGACTGAAACAAGCTCCAAGAGAGTGGTATAAGAAATTTTTCTTGTTCATGGCGATTCATAGATATACCAAGACTGATGCAGATCATCGTGTGTTCGTTAAGAAATTTCCTAGTGATAAATTCATTATCCTTTTGTTATATGTAGAAGATATGTTGATAGTGAGACAAAATATGAAGCTGATTGGTGATTTGAAGAAGGAATTAGCAAAGTCCTTTGAAATGAAGGATTGAGGCCCTGCGAAACAAATTTTGGGCATGCAGATCATGCGAAAACGAAAATCCAAGAGGTTATGGTTATCGCAAGAACAGTATGTGAATCGGATTCTGGAGAGATTCAACATGAAATCGGCTAAACCAGTCAATACACCATTGACCAATCACTTCAAGCTCAACAAACAAAGTTGTCCTACGAGTCAAGAAGAAAAAGAAGCGATTGCGGGTGTTCCATACTCCTCGGTATTCGGGAGTTTGATGTATGCCATGGTCTGTAGCAGACCAGATATCGCTCACACGGTTGAAATTGTTAGCAGGTATCTTTCCAATCATGGGAAGGATCATTGGGAAGTTGTGAAGTGGATCTTGAGGTACCTAAAAGGCAGTGCAAATAAGTCTTTGAGCTTCGAAAAAGGAAACCCAGTTCTTGAAGGTTATACAGATGCAGATATGGCAGGTGACCTGGATAGTAGAAAATCTACTTCAGGGTTTGTGTTTACATTTGTAGGAGGAGCTGTATCTTGGCAATCTAAATTGCAGAAATCTGTTGCCTTGTCGACTATTGAAGCCGAATATATTGCTTTGACAGAAGCAGGAAAAGAAATGCTTTGGTTGAAGAGGTTTCTTCAACAATTGGGAATGAAGCAGGAAAGGTACGATATCCATTGCAATAGTCATAGCGCATTGTATTTAAGTAAGAATGCGATGTTCCACTCTCGCACGAAGCACATTGATGTCATATATCATTGGCTACGTCAAGTAGTGGAAGGACAACAATTCAAGTTGGAAAAGATTCACACTGACGATAATCCTGCTGACATGATGACGAAAGTTGTAACAGGGAAAAAGATTCAGCTTTGTGCTGAGTTGATCGACATGGAATGCAAGTAAAGAACTGCATTATATTTCCCTTTGGCTGGAGGGGAGAATTGATGGGTCCAACCAAATAATGAAACAACAAAAGATGGGTTGTAAGATTCTATCAATCAAAGTGGAAGAGGAATTTTTCAATGCTATGAGTTGTCATATCGGTTTTCATTAGTTGAAATTATGGAGCTGAATATCCCTATAAATAGCACCAAAGTTTCAGCTGAAAATGCACCAAGGAAGAAAGAAAAAGGGTGAGAAGAAAAATAAGGAGCAGAAACAAAATTCAGTTTCTGGAGTGTTATTTTTTAGTGAGATATAAAAGAGTGTTTGAGTAAATCCTGTGAGTGTACGAAAAATACACCGAGTTGGGTATCAATTATATTATTCCTTGTTTAGGAGTGGGGTCTCACTGGGTGTCTATATTTTACATTTCTAGTGTAGAGGAGTATGAAAAGATATTGTAATTATTTTGAAAATATAGTGAAATTATTCGGAGGTTGTCCCGTGGTTTTTTCGTTTAATTGGAGGTTTTCCCACGTTAAATCTTGGTTTCTTATTTCTTGCATATTTTATTTATTTGGGATATTCTTAGTATTCCCTGTGGTCGCAGTTTAATCTGATCTTTCGCATCAGAAAAGAATTATTCCTGTTTTATTGCAAGAAATTTCTTTTGTCATTCTTGAGTTGCTGGAATTAGGATTATTGTTCATGATTTCACGTCAATATTTTAATTTACATCTTCCGCATTTACGTAATCTGAGCCTAACACATATTTCATTTTAGATTTTTTAACGGAAGCGTCATTCATGTATCGATTTGCAAAAATATAATAAGTTGTGCATTAATTTGCAAAATCGTAAAGGCGTTATTAAATTGCAAAAAAAAAAAAAAGGTATATTAATATGCAATTTTTGCCGTACAAATATTTTTTTCATCCCGAAAAATTAGCATAGTTTATCTTCATTAACCTCCACAATTTAACTAATTCAAATACAACCTTCTAAAAATCTCTAGTGGGACTTTGTAGTTTGGAATAATTACAACTAAACCCAAAAACATGTTAAGAATTAAAAAAAAAATCCCCTTAAGATTATGTGTAATTGTGTAAAGTGCAGGTTGGAGAAAGTGAATGTGAGAAGATGGGGAAGCATAGCTAAAATAAGTGGAACAATAATTTGTGTGAGCGGTGCAGTTGTAATGGCAGTGTTTAAAGGCCCAAAGTTGCTTAACGGGGAACTTATACCAGCAAATTCATTTACACATTACTTGTTTGGAATTGGATCATCAAATTCAAGTGGACATGACACGTGGCTGTTAGGCTGTCTATTTCTCTTTGGGAATTCCTGTTGCTGGTCACTCTGGCTTATTTTACAGGTATGCCCCCACACAAGTTTCCTAATTTCTATTAGATACCTAATGTTATTTATTAATTTATGGTCAAGTTCCTTTCTATATTTTGTATCTACTCCCCACAAGTGCTTGGTTCATTTGATAATATATATATGGCTAAATTTCATTTTTAGTACACTATATTGGTTATTTTTTGAAAAAGGTCATTCATATAAGGTGTCATCAAGAATAGTCCACTAAGTTGTCACTTTTCATCAAAACTCGTGCAATAGCCAACATAGAGTACTAAAAATGGCAATCACTTTTAGTACACTATGTTTGTTTTGTATGAATTTTGATTAAAGTGTCAACTTAATGAAACCATTTTTACGACGCCCTATATGATGGACTTTATTTGGAAAATAGCCAACATAGTACTCGATCATTTTTTAAAATTTTTTCATTTTTATATTATCATTGGGAAGCAGACAAGGAACAATTAATGTACATATTACAGGTTTGTTGCTCATATGATTAATATTTTTCTTTAACTGTTTTACTACATGCAGGTGAATGTTACTGCTTTATATCCCGACCATCTCTCGTTAACGGCATGGTTATGCTTCATATCGGCTGCACAATCTGGAATCGTAACAATGATAGTTGAATCGAGCGCAGTTTCATGGTTATCGGCCACCCGCTTTCAACTAATTTGTTGCTTCTTTGCAGTAAGCATTTTTTTTACGTTTTCAGTCAATATTTATTAATCGATCGACCTTAATATTTTTGTGTCGAATTTTATTTCTTAAATGGAAATATGTATAGGGCTTTACTTCAGCAGTCACATTCTTCGCTCAAACGTGGTGTATCGCGAAAAGAGGACCCGTCTTCTCAGCTATGTTCAATCCTCTTTGTACCATTATTGTTGCAATACTCGCCTGCATCTTCATGCATGAGGAGTTGTACACTGGAAGGTACAACCTATCTACTTAACATCATCATATTTATTTCACTTGTTAATGTATACATAGTTTCATTTATTATAGCATTAGATAAGGTTAATTAATTCATGCTACAACACGTACAAACGCAAATACTATATTACTTAGGTTATTGTTATTTGATTTGTAAATATATTTTGGCGTGACAATTATACAGTGTGATGGGAGGATTGGGCGTGATAATTGGACTGTACATTGTGCTATGGGGTAAAGCAAGAGACCAGATGGAAGTGATGGATAACCATACAGAAAAGCGAAACGATCAGACGACGTCGTCCGCTCAAATTGATTTGGAAGAGCCTCTCCTATCATGATTAGTGCACATGCTAAATGAAAAGTGTGTTCTGTTGGATTTGTCTAAACACGGGTCTAGGAGTAGTCTGGTGATTTGTAGTGTAATAGTCTGGTGATCCCGACTAAGCGTGCTTTCCAATCACACCCTTAGTCGTCGTACAAGCGTGTTTTATTCATTTTTTATTTTTTATTTTTTTGTTTTGAATTAAAAATTTTAAAAATATTTCTTACATTTTGTCAAAAAATTTGTTTGAGGTCTATGCATTTTCTGTTTCAGTTTAAACGAATGTTTTGCCGACCACTATTTCTGTTTGCATAATCATTAGATGACTATGGAATAAATTAAAATGTCTATTTATTTCATTATACCACATAGCTATTTTTATATTTTATATAGCCATAGAAAAAATATTGAAGTATGCACAAGTGCTACCTAAGGGCCAAAAGTAGGCCGAGGTTGATTAATTATGAAGAATTAAAGAGATCAAGGTTAACTAAGTATTTGGGTAACATCATTACGACCTATGAGTCCTCGAGTTTTACTTCGCAAGCGCAACTTGGCAAGTAGAGTGACTTCACAAATACCAGAGCGACTTAATGAGCTACTACTTCGATGAGAGCGCATTGAGATAACATGAATGTGACAACTAAAGCTAGACACAATAATTCAATTATACCAATCTATAATGGATAAGAAGGAATCTAATGGTGACTCAGATGTGATTATGATAAAGATAAGAAGATGATAAAGATAAGAAGACACCTCGAGCAATCCGGCAGGCTGACCACGAGCAACTCGGGCAGGAACAATCGGGCAAGTATACCTCTATAAAAAGGGGTTGAGGTACAACTGGAAATCCTCTACACTTTCTACATACTACTTAATCTATTTACAGAGCATATCCCTTTCATCTTCTTGTACTGATTGAAGCATCGAAGTGCTAACACTGGTAACTCCTCCCGACACTTTTGCAGGTCTCAGCTGTTTAGTGACGATGGAAGCCCTCGTTTGATGGTTCAATCTCGACTCGTATCACCGGTATATTATTTGGCGCTACATATGGGGACGCTTTTAAAGGAATTAAGAGCTCTCTATCCAGTTTTGATCATCTGACATGTCTAACAGAGAAGGGATACAAAAAAAATTGGAGTGAGGAGTTTAGAGAGACTTTGAAGGACAGACGCCCTCCTTTGGCACCTAAATCAAATCCAGGAATCAATATGCTTAAATTACCACCGATGGGTGGTCCATGCCATCGTTTGGTTTAACATCTGTGAAATGAAAGAACAAACTGCTAGCAGTGGGAACTATTAGGGCCCCAACGATAGCACCAAGCGGTGAAGGTACATGTCGACAAGAGGGCGTGGAAGAAAGAGAAAAGCGGAATGAAGGGCAAGGGAAGGAGGTAGAGGTCTCATCCACCCCTAGAGACTTGAGGAGTAAGCAGTCACCCTCTCAAGGAACGAATTGTAAAAGATGATTGCAGAAGCAGTAGCGGGAAAAATTAACCAAGGCCAAAATACCTGGCCCAATAGCCCGCATGACACAACTTACAAAAATGGAGAGGATGAGGAGTCATCTACAAGATGAAAACCTTTGCACAGTTGACAAGAGACGATGCGTTGGAGAATCTAACACCTCAATCTGCGAGCTGCAAGCTAAGGTGAGCAAAAAAGATGATCCAACTTGAGAGGTCATCAATTTTCTCAGGACATATGGGATGTCGACTTACCTGTTGGAGTATACTGTAGTAGCTCGACTTTGTATTACTCTCAATTCCATTTTGAATGAGGTTCGTGTTTTCAGTCAAGTCTACGTTCTTAGTTTATTTACTTATACGAAAATAGTTCATTTATTTTACATTGTAGATAATGTGGTTTGATGTGTCGAACACAAAGATCATGTTCTCGGTGCCTTGTACAATATAAATATTTGTTCACAACAATGCCCAGCAGACCTAGGTATCCCAGGGCACAACACCTAGCAGCTAGTGCCCAGTCGCGCCTCAACAGACCTAAGTATTGCTGGCAGGCCGAATCAGGTCAGACTCAACAACGAACATTTAGGTCCCGACCCGTGCCATATATCAGTTTTTCGAGCATTAGGATAAATTGATTTGAGTGCTTCAGGCAAGTTAAAAAAAAAATAGAAGCAACAAAAAGAGAAGAAGTTACTTAATTTAATTAAGCATTCAAATCAAGAGTATATCACAATAATTCTTTAAGTAAAATATTATATTTAAAAAATTCTTAAACTTGTAGATTAAGAGGATTTGAGCCCTCAAGAAAGTTCTTTATTCATCATCCTATCGAGGTAGGGATTCTATTCGATGCTTAAATTCTCTATAATGGCTTGGTATTATGGTAAAGTTATGTATGTGAGTATTTATCTGAGCGGGGCAAGTCCTGAGAGGGACTATCAATTAGATCTGCCGTTGTCGAGTGGACAGTATCACATGTATGCGACGAAAAATGTGTGCACACATGAGATAGTCATCCGTTGTCAAGTGGGCATTATCCTATGTATTTGACGGATGATTACAACAGCAGTTGGGACCAATTTTATTCATGTTAATGCTAATATTATGATATATATTATTATGGCTTATAATCGCGCAACATTTCTCCCCACTGAGCATATTTTTTTGCTCACCCCTTATTTTTCTTTCAAGTTGATTGTGTTGGTGATGGACACAATGGACGAGGGTGGTTTTTTTATGATTCAGTCTATGCTTTCGCTAGTTTTTATTAAAACTTGTTACTTTTTAGAACATGTTGTTTTTCAGACATTTGGCATGTGTCGATACTATATTTTGAAACTTCAAGGTTTATTTCAGTCAAGTATGCTTTAAGTATGAAATGAGCAGTCGATCAGTTAAGTTAGTATTTAGGAGTAGATCTAAGGTATGTTTGAGATAGTATGATCTCCCAGGTGAGAGGCCGAAGCAAGGGCCTTCCTATTCCATCTGGTATTCGATAAGGGCCGAGGTAAGGGCCTTCAGTTTTATCGGGTGATGTGCACACGAGCGGCCGAAGCAAGGGCCAATAAGGGTCATTTAGACCACTGTTTCCATTTAAGAAAAGTTTACAGTACAGTACAACTTATATGTATGTATGTTGCTTTTGAGTTTATGTTTACAATTAAGATTTTTACAGTTCCAGTTTTCCCACGAGCATGTAGATGTGCTCACACTCCCATAGTTTTTCTATTTCAGGTGACGGAGCTCAGCGTGCGGGTGAGCAGACGTGGCAAGTGTGGTCATGACCAGAGCACATTTTCACACGCAATTGTATGTCCTAGATTTCATGAGCATGCATTATTCAGTTATGTATGTGTGTATTATGTATTCAGTTGAACTTCCACTAAACTAGACAGTGTGAGACAACCAGACATACATGTGTGTTTCCCACCAGAAATTAAGTTTAAGACTTCAATAAAGTTTTTAAAAGCAAATCAGTTTTCAACAAGTTTATAAGAAGTAGAAGTAAAGTACCCAAAAGAAGTTTTATAAGTTAAATGTTTTCAAAAAGTTCAAAATTAATATTTAAAAAATCAGTATTTTTTCAAAGATAAGTAGAGGGTCCTTACATTCTTCATTCGACCTAGCACTTGCAAACTGGTTAAAAATATATTTGAGAATCGTCAAAGTCTTTGACCGACACCGGGGCGAGCTGATGGAATCAATGTTGCGCTCCCCCAACAAGGCCGCCAGCAAAGCTCTACAACTCTCAACATCTTTATAGTTGTATCAAACTGTCGTATTCTCAAAGCTCCGCAATTGACGAGATGGGTTAGTCAATCCATCATAGTGAATGTCAAGTTCTCTGAATCCGATCGATAAATCCTGATCAAGTTTCTCCTAGAAAAATGGATTCCCTCGAGCTCTCCTAGTTCGCTTTTCCTCTATTTTGTCTTGTAGTTCACGGATGTAAACCGCCATCTTCTCCACTACCAGGTCTTATTGAGATTTGATGGTCGAGCTGCTGGACATATCGACCTTCACCCTTCTTGTTGGTGGAGTGAGTTTCATTACACTTGACACCTATGGTGGTGGTTGAGTCAACTTGGCTGCAACATCCTCCACGATTATCTTATTCAGCTCATCCCTGGTGAGCCTCACGATCTGCTCGCTGGATGCAACGCTCCTTCCTACCATTGGCGACCTCCTCTCATCGCTCTATGGTTCATTTGGTTGCGACGGTGGTGCTGGAACCATTTCTATGCCCGATCTACCTTCCAGTTGAGCCATCGAGCCTTCAGGTGTTGCTACAGATGTCGAAGGAACTCCAAAACCTAATAGGTTGGGAATCGGGGTAATCGACATCTGAACAAATTAACCTTGAAAAACCAGTAGTGGACCTGAATTAATTAAAAGACTTCCCAAGTCTTGTCGAAGTTGGGCTCTAGGTTCATTTCGTGATCATTGCTCGTCATAGTAACTGGTGTTTGATGGCTTTTTGACGAGTGTCCCATAGACGACGGTAGTGACAATGACTTCGACTCGGCCCGACGTCCTTGAACAAGTGAAATTATCAACAAAAAAATGTCGAGGGTTGTCCCTGCGTAGAAAGCTCCTATATTCAAGTGAGTATTTGAGGAAGATGATGTATACAATGTACGTAAACATGAAATGCTTTGAGTGTGTAGATTTTAGATGATTATACATCACCCTTTTATGTAGAGGTGTTTCATTGTTGCTTAAGAGTTATCCGATTCGGTTGCAAATGGCCGAGCTGTCTGATTACATCACTCGATACCCAAACTGTCCAGTTTTGTTAGCCACGTGGTCCTATCCACGTGCACTTCTTATCTTTATTATATTCGTACTTATCCACTATCCTGGTATGTTCACATTAACCTACCTCATTAGGTATATACTTAAAGCATAACTTTGCGATGAGCTCGATTCCCTTTGAATTGTGTCAATCTGGTCTCCACTAAGTCTTCTCTTTTGGCCATACGTCGACCTCTCTTCACTTTCAGGTCGAGTTTTTATCAGACTAACCAAGACCCCAACTCAACCTGTTTTGAACTACTTCTACCTAAGAGGCCATCACAAACCTGAAGTTGGCTCGAACCTCCTCGTTGTCCTACCTCTTATCAACCTACTTAAACCGCTCAGGTTGTTATTAGGTCACATGTGGCCTAAAAGGTTGCATAGTATCCCATTTCATCAAATTCAAACATACATTTATTATGAAAGCATAGTTGAGTATAGGAAAATGATGACTTCAACCACGACTTTAATGATTAAAGCCATAACAAGACTGACCCATGGGTTATTATAACAAAGACCCCATCTAAACATTTGTCCCATGCATGCTAATTGGCCGGCCACGTTTCATTTGGAATTAACACTCCAGCATATACCCATAAATTAATGTTTTCTTAATCATGCTTATATTCAATCACCTCCAAATGTCCAATATGAAAACAAAAACAAATCATCCAGCAATCAACCAATATTGACTACTGAGTACTGACTTATCATTACGAAATTCAGACCATGTATTATTTGTGAAGTATTTTCTGTATCCTTGCTGTTTCGTATGTAATTAGTTAAATAAGTGAACAAATAAGCATTTCGAATTTGCAGGTATCACTACA